TCGGACGGGACCTCAGCACCATCTGTTTAGGTTTTCTCTGAGTTTCCCCATCGAACAGTGATAGACCTAATCCTGATGCCGCTTATAGCGCAACGGTCAATCGACTTACTCGTGCACCTTCTCCATACTCGAGCCATCTCCGAAACCTGCCTTACCGGAACAGGGTTGCAAATCGCATCATCTACCGTTTCGAGCGGGAGAACAACGCTGGTGCTGGCCCTGGACGGCCTCGCCTTGGCGCCAGGTAGCCTAAGCCAAACCAAGAAGCAAGACCAGTCTCAGGCTAAGGGATACCTGCCAGCCAATAATCGGTTTTTGTGCTCCTTTAAGCTATCGATCTTCGATCCCGTCGAGTCGAAGTGGGCATGTGTGGCTCAACGCCTGGTACTCGACCTCAAGTACTATACTTTGCACCAAGTCACTCCCCCAGGGTTTGGCTTGGGCAGAGTGGCTTGCTCCTGTCAACTTCTCCACCTGCCCAGAGCAGCCCACACGGCCCCTGAAACAACATCGCGATCTCCAGGCGTCACCTCGGAGACCTTAGCCAGCGCTGAGGGCCGTGATCGCACGACGCATTGGAGCGCGGCCGGCTCGCCGGCTCTACTCTTCTTGCAGGCGCTGAAGGAGATGCTTGCAAGGGAAGGGTTCTTCTCGCTGTACGGCTCGCTGCAGAGGCGATGAATAGGTCTTACTGATGTCACGGTGGGATTTGCACTTTGGCTTGCGCAATTCCATGGCATTTCCCCTCAGAGACCCCTCTTTTCGAGGAGATCGGTTTTCACGATTTCCCATCCGAACCTGATTTTTCTTTGCTCCTCGGCCCCCTGGGCTCTCGGCTCTAAGCAGGATTTTATTTTTGTCTTGGGGGGACCTGTCACGTCGATGCCGATCTCTCTCCTGGTCCACTTTCTCCATCTTAGTCGAGTACTTCCAGAAGCCGTTCCAGCCGTCTATCTGTTTTTGATTTACTAGCAGGACTACGAGGAAGGCATATCTCTCTATCTTGGAAGCTGCACGCTGTCGCCGTGGGTCAACCGGGCATGTCTACACCTGTGGCAGATTGCCTTCAAGACTTCCAGCCCACGTCTCAAAAATCTGCACGTCTTTGGCGATTGCAGTGGGTTTCCCGGGCCCCACAACCGACCAATGGGTGCCGCATTGGAGCATGACAGCCGTCAAATCCGAATTATCGGTGAAGCATCCGTTATGCATCTGATCCCATGAAACAGGGCTACCTTACCTGGAAATACGGCACTGCAAATCAAGGCACTTTAATTCGAAAGACCTGTATTGCGTAGCGACTCAAGTGATTGGTACTGCTCACAATTAACAAACGATAGGCTAGCCTACGGACAAGGACAATTTGGGTTACTTGACCGTTATCGAATTGAATCAAGCAGGATGAGCTTCCATCGAATCAATACCCGATGGAACCAAATCTCTTAATTCTCCAGAACCGTACAGATGGGGTCCTGTAGGGATAGGACACAATCCTAGGTGCAGCTACCGAAAATTGTAATAAGGCGAGTAAGGGTCCTGAATGAAAAGCAGGATATTATCATGACAGTCAGCATATCAGTGCCAGATCGAGGAATTGGCCTGCAATCGAGAAAGCGCGCACTTCCGGACCACGTCCTAACGCGGGAAGACCCACGGCTTGGCATGACCTGTGACATTGGAGGTCCCCTTGCAAGGGTGCTGCAGGGCGTGTGGGCTTGAAAAAGGGTCGCTGGAGCCAGGACCCTTGACCTCGGGCACACGCTAGATCCCAGGATGGTATTAGCGAGGGGAAGAAAATAATCCGTCCCTCGCGGACCCTGCGGGCAGGCTAGCCTACGAAATTCACGTCCCTTGGACGCCGGCGCGATCGTCAAGAGAAGGCTCTCGAAGACCAACCCACCATCGTCGATGTCAAAACTGTTGGCGGTGTCGCATCGTCAATCGTTGCGCCGCCGTCTCGTCGAAACGCTGACATCTTCAGGTAGCAGTTGTCAGAGAATCGGCTCTTCTCTACTCTATGAAGCATCCTCCAGCCATTCTCGAACCCATTTCAACCCCTTGTCAGACACATCGTGACAAGTCGACATCTACGTCATTTCTCTCCTGCTGGTGCTTAGCCGCCGGCAGTGAACTATTGACCGGCGCACCCCGCTAATACTATGGTAAGCACCAAGTACTACCCAAGTACGTACAATAACCCCTGATGATGGCCTCTCGTGATTAGCAACAGTGAGTGTGACAGCAAAAGGCGTTTATCAAGGACCCTAGGGTCCTTATCTGGCCGGTTCTTTTAACTCGACCTGCTTCAAAGTACACGCCTGCCACGAATTTCTCAATGTTGAGAAATCTCCAGCAACTCAATTTGTCAACCCGGGGGAGGCTAGCTGCTTCCCACGACATTATACCTTGATATCGGTGTCGGCTAGTTGAGCCCTCCTGGCTTCCTGTTGCGTAACGGAAGTCTACTCCAGCTCTATTCCCAGTTGTGGTGGGGGACAACTCTATAACGACCCTGCTTTTTAGTGCAGCATATACACTGAGCGCTGTCTGTAGGAGCAGCAGCTCCGGCGAGCCCCACACAGCCTCAGAGTCATATCTCATGGCTCCTCGAGCTCCCCCTAAGTAGCTCCTCATAAGCATAACATTGACCATCCGATCCACGAAAATTGGAAAGGTTCTCGCAACATGTCAAAACACCACGCTCACACACACTTTTCAGTGGTTTTCTGAATCTTCTAGTGCCTCCTACCTTACTTACATGTTCATTGCTGCTACAATTTCGAATTAACTTGTACTGTCTATAAACAAACTCGCCCGCCAGTGTGGGAAATTGTCTGACAACACATCGCTCGTGTGAGTCTCAGCTGAGGTGCTGTGTGATCGGGCAGAGAGAATCGAGGGCTGCCGCCACCAGACAGTGGCCGACCTTCCATCCTCACTCTCCTCAATCTCCTCTTCATACAAGATTACTTCCCCGCAAAGTTGCAGGAACACCGATGTTATTCCGCATGTTTTAGCAGCTCAAACTGCTTAGTTACCAACCCACTACTACAATTGGTTGTGGAGGGTGAAGCATTGTTTAAATGCAAGCTTTCGAGCTAAAGCGGAGCATCTGATCACCAACACATCACGAAAGAAGCTGACATGAACTAAGATGCAGAAGCAGCTTTCCCCGCCTGGTGCACCGACAGCTTAACACCACCTCTGTGTGTGTTGTAACGCCCTAGAGGGGGCCATTGCGCAGCCAACCCCTAATACGGTACAACTGCAATATTGATTTGGTATCAGGCCAGTTATGCCGCGCTCACAACATTAGTTGTTTTGGGGAAGGTTTGAATCGTGGTCGAAAAATTTCTAGGCGGTACTGGACGCATTGATTCGGCGTTGAATGCACCAAGACAGCTGTTACGGCTTACCCATTATGCCCAACCAGAGACAATGCGGTAACATGTGGTGACAAAGTTGGATAGGACGATGATCCTGTGGAGGTTGCGACCCAGTCATCATATCCGGACCCTTGACCCGTCCAAGAGATAGCTTCAAGATGTTGGCGGTAAGTGAGGGGTCTCGTTTCACTACCTAGTGTCTGCTGGTCCCCCCTCCGATAAGACCCTTGGACATGCCTACTGTCCCCATCTCGGTAGTCCAGATGTTGTGTTGGTAAACCCCGCAGGAACTGCACGGGTCGGACGGCAAGTCATATCAATCGAGTAGTATTGAAACCGGACAGAGATAACCATGTCGCAAGCGTTGAAGAAGACGCGTGTCGTTCGTGCCTTCCCCGAGATTTCCTTATGGGACAAGAGTTCATACGACTCGGGTCTATTTGCTTGCTTGCAGTTATTATTGCCCAGGACCTGCCATCCCAGAAAGACGGGATGGTACGACGAGCCAACAACTGGTTTTGTTATTCCGTTAGGAATGCGATCCTTGACTGCCCAACCCAAGCACCAAGGTACAGGATTGGTGTACTGTACCTGTGTCGCTGTATTTCCAACTACCCTACTTTGAGCCTGCTTATTAGTCGCGAATCAATTACCAGAGACAGAACGGCGTGCGCATGGCTTTCGATTGGATGGCGTCCTGTCTCCGTTGAGTTTACTGACGTGAATCAATATTGAGTCAGAAAACGGAGGTCTGAAGGACCGTAAAAAAGCAACGATCCCATTGTGGGCTGCTGGTCGGGGACTGGTGTGTGGCAAATTGCAAGCTGCGTAGTAGTGAGGGCTCATGGCATTTTGCAAAATGCCCATGGGCCGCGAAAAATACCATCCCTTCCGCACTAAGACCAAACGTTTGGCGGGGCAAGGGTCTCGACTGCTCTTCGACCCTTTCGTCTCACACTCCCATGCGTTGATCGAATTCTATTCTCGCTATAACTGCTTCCGTATCGATACAATACGAAAGCATCATGTCATTTCAACAAGAAAATCTGTCTAGTTTAGCAAAGTGGATCTCGCCACAATTTGGAGACTGCCGTGTCGAGCGTGTCTTCGTCTCAGTTCAGTCCTGACCCTCTCTCGAGCCTCCGAACCTCCCTCCTCTAGCACAGCCTGCTCTCGCCCGGTGCATGTTATCCCGCTGTATGTTCAGGAAAAGCAAGCACTGCAGAATATTGAGCTGAGTCCCATTTCGACAAGCCGCAAAGTCAACAGAAAAGTCCTCAAGTCCACAGCTTTCGCCTCTCTCGTAACATAGTCTCGAGCTAGTCGACCGCTGAAAACTGTAGCGGCGCCGGGTTTCGTGAGTGGAGGAGGCAGGTTTTCCACCCGGACGGCACCTAGACTATTGATAAACCGCATTAACGGTGATGATACAATTTCAGATTACACAGAAGCTAACTCCCAAGTATGCGATTGAAATCCATCCTCTCGGGCTCAAGCTATGACCAACCCTCGGCTCGCGCTGAGGACAACCTTCCGTAACGCCTTTAACAATGACAATTGCTGACCCCTGAAACCCCCATCTGCTAATTTGCCACACCGGCATCCGGGGATTGTCTACCTCTTCGTAGCCCCTGTATCGACTTTCTTCCTTGGCGGTAGGTCAGGCTTCTTGAATACGCCGTTGCTGCTACTGCCCCCGCCGCCACCAACTTGCGTGAAGCTGCCTCCCTTGAACCATCGGTCCTCTTCCTCCTTGCGCTTTCGCTTCAGCTCGGCCTGGACCTTGGGATCGACAAGTTCAAGGCCTTGAACAGGCGTGAATGATAATGATGACATCGTGCCGCCACTGCCAACTGTCGTGCCCACGCCGGAGGTCCGTAGCCCCTTGCCTCTGAGATCCAGGTTTCCAGCAGCCTGCCCAAAGCCCTTGAGAGACGATGAAGCTCCGGAGACAGAGCTCGCGCCGCCCCAGCCTTTGCTCTTCTGGCTCAACTTCGCACGAGTCTTGTTATCGATTTGTAGGCCCCGTACACGGCCGTCATTGCCCTGTCCGATCATGCCCATACCGACTGTGCCCTCGCCCGTGCCGTAGCCGACCTCCTTCTCTTCCTTTCCAAACGCCATACGATTCTGCGCTTTGCGCAAGTCGGTCATGGCCGTCGCCGCCTTGGCCGCGCGCGCACGACGACCACCGCGCTTCCGCGAAAGCTTGTCGTCGGGCACCGGCAGGGCGCGTTGGCCCTTGTTCAGGGGTTTCTCCTGCAGCTTGTCCAGCCGATCGAGGCAAGCTAACCTATACTCTTCACCAGTCGAGCCATCTGGGGCCTCGTGGATGCGGTCGACACGAGCCGCCAGGACGAGCTTTGCGGACACTATCCGCATCGCTTGCTTCTTCAAATCGCTCGTCACGCCGCGGATAATGGGGCTGTGATATAGAAAGCCTTGTTGGCGAATCCCGACGTTCGTGGCCAGAGCTCCGCTTTGTTGCTTCTTGGAGCCCCAAGCAGCAATGTTACAGGCTGGTGTCTTGGCCAGACCTGTGAGACCTCCCGCTGCGTTGAGCATTTGCGCGGCTGTCAGGGAACCAATAAGAGCAGTCAGGTTTGGTGCAAAGAGGTTCATCCGTGACTGCACGTATTCTGTTAAAGTCTTCTTTGCTGCGTCCAGGCTGATCATCATCTCGCAAGCTCGGACAACACGATCGAGCTCGTCTTGCGACATTTCCCGTCCCTTCGAAGTCGTAGCTTCCACCGTAACGATCATGAGTGAGGGTCCATCCAGAACTGACTTGAGCGTCGCCTTCAAGGGGTTGTCTGTTGATTTCTGTAGCGCCTTGATGCTCTCCGAGTCCATCGGGCCATTGCCCAAGATTGCGACCACCTTGGCATATTCGAGCGGATTCGTGATCAGTGTCTCGAGCTCGGGGAATCGCACCGAATAGTGATCGCGAATGAACTTGTGAACCAACACTATTTCACTATCTATCAAAGTAGATAGGCTGTTGGACTGCGTAAGAACGTTGTATTCGGGATGATCCTCCACGTTGCCGACATTGGCCAACGCCTCGGGAGGTTGTGCTTTGAAGTAGGCGATTTTCTGTAGGATCGAACGCAAACTGTCAGGGCTAATGTTCCGAGAAGAAGATGTAAACACTTCATACATAGTGATAGGGGGCGTAGGGGAGTAGGGGTTGCTAACCTCAAGAACTGGTTCCAAGCTCTTCATCAAGTTGGCCACGCTGCGCACGTCGTCAACTCCGCCGAGTTGCATCTTCTCAACGCGCGCTTTCGCCTCCTCTGCATCTTCGGGCGCCTGTTTGCTTGTGTCAGGCATTCCACCCATCTCCTCATCCTCTTCCTCACCGCCGTCCATGTCCAAGTCGCCATCGGCCAGTACGCCATTTGTCGCGCTGTCTGCGCCTTGAAACTCGTCATCGTTGCGCTCGTCGGCTCCTTCCGAGCCCGAGTCCTCGAAATCCTGCAGCAACTCATCTGCGAGAGTCGACATCTTGGCGGTATTGACCAGAGTTGCTCTGACTGAATCTTGTCGTCGTCACGACGTAGTTGGCGGCGGGTTTGTGATCGGAGGAAGCTTGAGCCAGGTTTGGAGTCGAGCTCCAGAAAATAATGCAAGGCAGACGAGGCTGAAGTGGCGCTAACAGCCACCATCTTACTTATTCCAGACTAGCGTCCTCTCGAAAAGCTCTAAACACTACCTCTTCAGACCTTGCTTGTTCATTCAAAGTATTTTCGCGACCGACTCGTTTACCCACCACGTAAAGCTATAGATCTCCCTCCAAGATTTCTGTGCTCTTACGACCGCGACCATGGAGTCCTCACGCGGTCCTCCGCGGGTCAAAAACAAGGCCGCTGCACCCGTGCAGATATCGGCAGAGCAGCTGCTACGAGAAGCCGTCGATCGACAGGAGGGCGCCCTTCAAGCCCCGACACAGCGGTTTGCCGACTTGGAAGAACTTCATGAGTTCCAGGGACGCAAGAGAAAAGAGTTCGAAGATTATGTGCGCCGCAATCGAATCAGTCTCAAGAACTGGCTGCAGTACGCAGGGTGGGAACTCGAGCAGAAAGAGTTTGCGCGTGCTCGCTCCGTCTATGAGCGAGCGCTCGATGTATTGCCTAACAATGTTACGCTGTGGATTCGATACATCGAGGCTGAGATCAAGAGCCGCAATATCAATCATGCGCGCAACCTGCTGGACCGCGCTGTCACGCGACTGCCCAGAGTCGACAAGCTATGGTACAAGTACCTTTATGTCGAGGAGATGCTTGGGGCGATTGCCAATACAAGACAAGTGTTTGAGAGATGGATGCAATGGGAGCCAGATGAGGCGGCCTGGGGTGCTTACATCCGGCTAGAGAAGAGATACGGCGAGTTCGACAGAGCGAGGCAGATCTTTCAGCAGTTTGTAGTGGTACATCCCGAGCCGCGCAACTGGATAAAATGGGCGAAGTTTGAGGAAGAGTTCGGCACCAGTGATCTGGTTCGGGAGGTTTTCCAGACTGCGATCGAGTCTCTTGGTGATGAGTTCGTGGATGAAAGGCTTTTCATTGCATATGCTCGTTATGAAGCCAAACTCAAAGACTATGATCGAGCGCGAGCCATCTACAAGTTTGGCTTAGACAACCTCCCCAGATCCAAGTCCATGCTTCTCCACAAGGAATATACTACGTTCGAGAAGCAATTTGGTGATAGGGAGGGTGTCGAAGATGTCGTTTTGTCCAAGAGAAGGCGGCACTACGAGGAGCAAGTGAAGGAGAACCCTAAAAACTACGACATATGGATCGACTACACCAGGCTCGAGGAGACTTCTGGTGACATTGACCGAGCACGCGACGTCTATGAAAAGGCTGTTGCTCAGGTGCCACCCACCCAGGAGAAGCGTCATTGGAGGCGGTATATCTTCCTATGGATCTTTTACGCGCTTTTCGAGGAGTTGCAAACGAAAGATGTCGAGCGAGCCCGCCAGATTTATGACACATGTCTCACGCTTGTTCCTCATAAGAAGTTCACATTTGCCAAAGTATGGCTTATGAAAGCTCAATTTGAGGTTCGCCAAGGCCAACTCACCGCAGCACGAAAGACTCTTGGCCGAGCTATCGGCATGTGTCCGAAAGACAAGATCTTCAAGGGCTACATCGAGTTGGAGCAAAAGCTCTATGAGTTTGAGCGTTGCAGGACGCTGTACGAGAAGCATATCATGTACAACCCAGCCAATTGTCAAACATGGATCAAATGGGCCGAGCTAGAGCGTGGCCTGGACGACCTGGACCGAACACGCAGCATATTTGAGCTTGCTATTGGCCAGCCTGTGCTTGATATGCCCGAGGTCGTCTGGAAAGCCTATATTGACTTCGAGGAGGAGGAAGGCGAGTACGAGAAGACGCGCGATCTATATGAGCGGCTGCTGGCGAAGGCCGATCATCCAAAGGTCTGGATTAGCTACGCGCAGTTCGAGATCAATATACCCGAGGGCGAGGAAGAAGAGGCAGAAGACGAGGAGCAGCCAATCAGCGAGGAGGCGAAGGCACGTGCTCGCAAAGTCTTCGAGCGTGCACACAAGAGCATGAAGGATCGCGAGCTCAAGGCAGAGAGAGTGTCGCTGCTCAAGGCTTGGCTCAGCTTCGAACAGGAGCATGGCTCGCCGGAAGATATCGAGAAGATCCAGAAGCAAATGCCACGCCAAGTCAAGAAGCGGAGGAAGCTGGAGGACGATACTTGGGAGGAGTACATCGACTATGTCTTCCCGGCGGACGACAAGCAGACGCAAGACTTGTCAAAGTTGTTGGCGATGGCGCAGGCTTGGAAGCAGACAGGGTCCAACTCGGCAGCAGGAGGTTGAAGCAAAGCAAGGCTTCCTCACATGATATATCAGATGTAATATTAAAAATATTCTTTCCCCAACCCTTACGGGGTGTGGGTCATCTACCAACCGTAATTCTTGCCCCTGACATCCTGTCAAGTCGTGTGATAACAAGCAGTAATTTACTTCACCCTTCGAGAATTATGGAAGCTAACAGAATCATCATGCTATATCCTTGTTCATCATATGTAATCGGACTCCTCATCAGTATCCCATCGAGCACGCCACGCTGTGGCATCATCCTCTTCATCTAGTTCCTGTGTATTATCAGAGTCGTCCGGTTCCAGCCGCGCTCTGATAAGATCTCTATCGAACGTTTTGTATCTATCAAATGAGTCCCAGGCCCTGGTCCTCAACCTTCTAGACCTGCGATCGATACCAAAGACAGGTACATATGAGAGGATAGAAAGTAAGAATATGTACGCCTTTTGAACCCACTCGCGTCTCATTTTTTTCCAGATGGAACCAAACCACTGGATTTCGAGGGCCACTAGAATGAATGGCACCGACACTGCAACGGAAACACCAACTAAATTTTGCGGTTAGTCGATGCAGGTGTGGCAAATTAGAATATATTTGCCACTGACATATCAATGCGCAAACGTGGCCAAGGGGCCAGCTGGTCTCATGCGAATCAGGATCTTGAGGAAACTTATCGACGTCAAGTGTGAAGAAACTAGTTATAAAAGATAACGGAAGCTAGCAAATGATTAGTTGATCATTTAGCAAGATCATACCTGGTTCAACCTACGAAGATAATTGTCACAACTGTGAAAACAAGAAGAGTCTTGAAATGTTAGCTTCTGTGTGATATCAATACAGATCTGAGAACCCTCGTACATTGCCTTGTCTCGCGGTCTCAACCGCTCCTTCGCGGGTAATTCGAGCCTCCCACGCATTCGCTTGTTTCTGTTTCAAATCGAGTAGCCGTTCAACCTGTCCACTATATCAGCTTTGGCTTGAGGAAAGCAGAGGAATGGAATGCCTACTCCAAATTCAACAGTCTCCGCTCGTTTCTTCAGACTTGTGAAGCTCTGATGTGCCCTATTCACGAGCTTTTGTAGATGTGCCAAGTCATATTCCGGGAAAACACTCCGTTTATCAGAAACTCCATAAGCCATCTCGTCATGGTTGTCTTTCAAGCCTTTCAGGGTGTATTCTTGACACCCAAGAACATCCTCAATCATCTTTATCTCGTCTAGGATATCTTTGACTTCTTTCAACAGCTCAGTTTCATTAATGATATCCAGGAACTTCAGGAGAAATTTCTGGCCGTCTCGATAAGCAGGATGTTGCTCGTCCAGGCCCGAAAGTAATCCCGACAGAAAGTGAAAAGCTTGAAAAAGTCTAGACTCCTTTTCTTCCTACTTGAAAATGAGTTAAAAGGCTCAAAGATCTGGGCTGCTGTTGTAATTGACTAACCACATGTCCCACCGCATTTTCGAAAGCCTCCACTACATTGATTGATCTACCGTCTTGACTTGGGCTGAGTGTCCTACAGCACCCAGCAAGGATGAGTGATACGAGTTCAGCTGTATTGCGGCATGGAAGTCGATCAGGGTCATCTAAGATGTCATCGTCAAATTTTGTATCCGACCCGATCCGAGTAGGAAAGCTAGTGATGATGGTATTTGGCGCTTCAGGTTCCTTGAATTCCCCGCTATTGATGATCCAGAGCCAGAGTTGATCAACCATCAATATATCACGTTTTTGCGTTTGTGTTCTACGATGCTTATTTCCGGTTTGGCCTTCAAAGGAGCCCATTTTACCGTAGTAGAAATCGTCGAGAGTCCTACCATCAGGTTAAATTACTTAGTCACTGAGTGGTCTGTCAGCAGAAAGCCTACCGCGGAAGACGACGTCTCTCCTTCATCCGGTCAGTGGACTTTTTCGTCCATCTAGAATATACTTGATGTCTATCTCTATAAGAGGTATCGCGAAGCATGTAGTAATACGACTGATCTAGCGTACTTCATGTTGAGAATTTCATTAGCTGATTGGTATTAAGCGAGCTTCCGGACTTGTCTCACCGACGAGGATGTATCGGTAGCTTTTCATGCGATTTGTCATGCGTATAATGAAGATACACGTCAGAAGTTTCGATCAGTCTTTCTACTCTTTCACGATACATGCTGCTGTTGTCAGCTTGCGTCGAATGCTTGTGGCGTGGAATGATATCAATCACTGATTCTAGAGAAAGGTCATGAAAAGGTCCCCGGATACGAAAATTATAGTCAGGAGATTGCCTGAAGGTATCAAACTTTCGACCACGCTTTCTGGAACGAGATCGAAAACGGCTCTTATGTAACCTCGACCGACGACGGTGAATTGACATGCTCTGCAAATCTTGTATTCTTTCTTGAGTCTCTCGGTCGTCGTACGTTATGTAAGGAAACTTGCATCCGTCAACACATGGCATTTATAGACGAACTTCAAGCAAGTGACATTATCTTACTGTGATTACCCAGGCTTTAGGGTTCTGTTGGCCACCTGCCATATATCTTAGGCGGGAGCAATCTGGGTATATGCAACGCTGCTCGAAGTACATATATGTCAGACACTTAGCGAACATCTGATAATATGTAGGCCGTAAGAGAGCTTGTATCTCTACTTGACGCCAAGATTATACCATGAATGCTCACTTACGCTTTGAGGACTACCAAAGTCGCGAAAGCCTTGTGGCCAGGGCCACATGTGGATATTGAGCTTTGCAAATAGGTCCTGTTCATTAGCCTGCTGAAGGTCTGAGAGACTGGGGAAAAGGCGTACATGAACCCATGCCATCTGTGTTGACACATGCATTAGCAACTGGCTCCGATATAGCATAAATGAGTACACCGACATTGTTCAGCGGAATATGGTACCAACGACATGACGGGGAGCTACCCGATTGTCGGTCCGCAAATATTTCGTTCAAATTTTCGGCCATGTTCCCTTCCTTGTATATAACCTTATCCACCGATAGATACTCGCAGATATATGTCTCTTCGAGATTGGGCTGTAGATAGAAGTCTCGAATTGAGACATGGAATGAAGCACAGGCTTCACGCTGATATGGTGACAAGCTCCCTATCTCGAGTTTCCTCTCTGCAAATGCGCGTCTTACTGGTAGCGATTCAAGCAGTAGCTTGGTCATTTCAGTACTTGGAGCTATTTGAACTGGTCTTTCGCCGCTATGGTTGCTGACATCTCGATTTGCACCTGCTTCTAGTAAAATTCGCACCATGTCAAGTCCAGTAGGGTCGGTTCGGCTGGCTGCAAGATGCAATGCCGTATTCCCAGCCTCATCTTGATGCTCCAAATTGATTTTGCCCGTTCTTACGAGACGCTTCACAATGTCTTGGTGATCGCCTTGACAGGCTAGATGCAGTGCAGTCTGATTTTTTCTGTTGGATAAGTGCAGGCTTGTGCCCTCGGCGATCTGATTAGATATACTGACGCTTCTGCCGAGTCTGATTGCGGATAACAGACGATGGGTTTTGATGGCCTTCTGAAGGGAATTGCAAATTGCCTGGAAAATGCGGTCTTGAGGCCCGGTGAATTTGGCAACATCGCCCGGATCTGCCTTCTTTTCCCAGATACCATCGAACTGAAGCTCTGATTTCTCCTCGGACTTTCCAGCTGGACGATCTCCTCCAGATTCCGTCGGAACGGAGTAGTTCTTTGGATCCTCTTCCCGCTTGTCGTTATCCGGTTTCGTGACAGGATTACTGCCCTCTCTAGCAAGGGTTCGAGCATGGGCAGTTTTTGAAGTAGGAAGCGACCCTACGGACAAAACAGCAATGTCATTGTCAGAGGCGTAGCCGTTCAGTGCTGACCACGCAGAGTGCGTCGGATCAATCGACTGTAGAGAAGTGGTACCATTCTTCTCTTTTTTAGCGACCTGATTTCCTTGTGGCGTCATGTCGACTTGCGAAACAAGATTGTCCGTGTTAATCGGTGCAGCAAACATCACGATTGCTGCAGAAGATTGAAGCAGTATCTTCATCTCACTACTACTTTGATCGAATAGCATCGGGATAAGTACTGTGCCAAATCCGTGACCAATAAAGATAGCGGTTCTCTCAGGATACTGTGTTCTCTCAAACTTGAGGTGCTCGCGAATACTTGTTGCAGCATTTTCGAAGTCAATAGGAGGTTGCCCAGGTTCCTCGTTCAAAATACAGCAGCAGCTAAGAATACGAGGTACTGGAATTGCGGAGGGCAGCATCCCTTCATCAATCAGCCAGTTGCAGGCTGTTTTATTTGGCTCAACTAGTTTTCCCTTGATACCATAGACTGACTCTCGGTGTGGGGGCTTCGGTCTGCCCTCAGTCGTAACTGCAGTCTTCCCTTTTGCGGCAACTGTTGGTTCATTTTCTGCAGTTGCCGTCGCTTTGCAGAGAAACAATGACGCTGGATCATCCTGCTTCCTGATCGCATATATAACCACGACGTCGATGGATATGTATCTGCTTGGCGGCCTTTCACTATTCAGAAGAGTTGCGAACCGCACAGGAATTTGTTTCGTGTTGGCAGCATCTCGACTACTACTGCCTGTTGCCATTCTTGTCAAATTCCTCTGTACGCATGATTAGTTGACTGTCACACTGCTCAATGATCCCTCATAGAGGAGCCAAGGTAAAGGAATATCTACCAAGTTTTGAAATAAACTTGTTTCGTAAACGGACGATCAAATACTCGGACACAATCATGCAGAGAGACTGCTATAGTTCTAATTTATAGCGTTCGGTCAGAGAAGAGGCGAGCGGTAGGACAGCAAAACTCGGGTTAAATACGACGCAAACGTGAGCGGCAACATTCAATAGCCTTATCTTGTCTTTTATCTACCAAAAGCCTCATATCCAGATTAGGGAACGAAGTTTCAGCTCCAGATCGCACGTGTTGAATGGCGTGCAGTTGTGTGACAAAAGATACAGAACCACGAATAAGAGCATTGAGGACGAACGCCACGGGGCTTGTCAGAAGCAGGCTGTCAAAAGGTTGCATTTCTGAGTAACCTACCAGAAGCTACTTCTCGTGAGAAGGCTGCGTCAACCGGATACAGCGGCAATTATCCTGGGATGGATAGCAAAAAGATATAAGGCAACCGTTTATGTCCAGAACAGAAGTAAGGAGGCCGACAGTTACATACCTTACATGACGAAAAACTCTTGTTCTGGAAACAGCAGCTATATCATCAATCTCTTGTAAACTGCGCAATGAAGTAGCAAGTGCGATGAATTAGCGTGAATCAGTATGATAAATTCGAATGTTGCTTTCTTACTCCCAATTCGTAACATCAGAATTTAAACTTGGCCTAGCCCTCATCAAATATTCTTCGATGAAAGTATAACCTCAGATGATCTGACATGAGTACGTGAAGGAGATTATTTACGATGTTGTCGAGCTGACTATGGTATCCAAAGCGTGTTTATGGTGATCAGCGGGGAAACTTTGTGATGTCTTGGGGTAACAGTCGCAATCGCCATGGCATTCCTCATATCATAGGGCAAGATTGACTATCTAGAATCAGAGCCTGGTAATATTTAGGATCATGTCAAAGTTTAGGTACAAGTTGCAGCCATGCATTTCTACGAGATCCTTTTCCGCTTAAGGTCTGTTGTCTATCATCTGCCTTTCTCACTGCGGCCTTGTATTCTGACTTCCTTCTCTTCGAGCATAATCTCTGTTGACGTTGCCTATGCGCGCTATAACTCTACACTGTTTTGTTTTTCGATCGAGTGTATTATGGGAACAAGATGCTATTTGGCAGCAATTATCCAAATCTGGGCTTTCTACCATAGATAAAACCTTTCCTCTTCAGGCATCATTCAGGAGTTGGCATTACGAGCTCCTAAAGCTCAACTTACTGGTTTTGGGAAGAGAGAATATCGTGTCTAGACATATGCTAGAAGGGTCGATGTGTCTACATCAATGGAGTCCTTCGTCGCTGTTCCCATGGCTACAATGACTTGGCATTTAGAAAGGACTATAGAAGAGACCAGTAATTGAAGCTCAAGGTTGGTCAACTCTTGTTAGGTGCATCATATCCGAGCTGTATACAAGACCTGGAACTTGAACAGCGCGCTACGAATATGAGTGACGAACATTATAGTAGAGCAGTTACCATCAACAGCGGAAAGCTCATATCTACGACCTCAAAATAACCACATATAAGAAAATAGGGGCGGTTTAGGAATTAGGACGGGTAGATATTGCCTTCGGAGCAACAAAACTAGCCATTGTCCATGTGGTAGCCTCTTGCTACGGCCAGATGCACACGATCGTCGATCAGAGAACATCACGGACATAATGCTCCCTTGGGAATGACAGTTTGCTCGACATGCCCCTGACGGACCCTCACCGCCGGCAGTCACAGAGAGCCCCAAAGGGCCGGATACCCAGCGTTTCCGGCACATGCTGCGATGCAGGGCAAGACCTCCTATTGAACCGCATCAGAGCTGAAGAGGAGGATCTAGACCGCCCATCGTGAGACGGATCCCTGGGAGCATCCCTGACTACTGTGGGACATTGGGACTCCGGAACCGTGGGTAATTCGCCTGGTGGCCCTGCCCTGCTAGCGGGATGGGCTCCACAGGGCCCGGGTCGCTGCAGGCTGATGTCATCACCACCCGTGGACCTGCCAAGAAAAACCAAGCTTTGCGCCCCGGGGCCGTTCCGCCGCACCCACAACGTCCGCTCATCGTCTCGACCTGGTCGACTTATAGTAAGCTTGCTGGGAGATTCGTGTTAGCAGAGAAGCCATCGTGTCCTTCTCCAGATGTCAATGAACATGCGCGGCAAAGAAGGCCAAGTTAGATACCGCTCCCGCACAGCAGATAAGAAAGGAAGGGGAATATGACGACGACGTTTTGCCTTGTGCGAGGCAAATTCACACCGTATCATGCCATTTCATTCCGTTCATACCTAAAGCAAAGGAGCGGGTCTGGCTCCCAGAGCAGCCGTCACATACTCCCAGCCCTTGTTCGCTCACTTGCTCACCTAGCTTTACCCACCATGGCGCCTCCGTGCTGCTCAGATCGGACCAACTACAGTTCTCACAGAGGACGTGGGAGGCGGGAAATGCCTAAGAGATATGAAAGATTGTCCGTCATAAGCTATGTATCAATCATACGCCCACATTTGTCTCCCTTTCCTCGCGTGATCGTTATCATCATCCTGCATGTGACCTAGTTGGAAGCCAGTCCTTAAACAGTCAATATGCGGTCTCCCTAGTGCACACACGTACATGGCCATCATCCATCCATCCATCATCATACTTTGCATTTTGCATCTAACTGACCAATGATTCTTGTCCTAGGTAGAAATAGAGTAGCGAAACGGGAAAAATAGCTAGAAAATATGTCCACACCATCCAGCGTTAGCCTGTAGGAAAGTCGTGATAGTCAGAAAGAAAAGAAAACCCCAGTCATAAAAAAGAAAACGTGGATCATCACGCATGCCGTAGAATCTATAGCCTTTCCCCCCCTGCCTGCACTACGAGTCCCCACCCACTCCTCGTCACCTTCCGGTTGATTGTCTCGCATCCGATCGCGGGGTAAATAGCGTTGTCTGAGAATGCCTGCGCAGGTCCGGCAGGGTGTTAAAAAAAAGATCGCCTCCCATCCTATTCCTGCAATCCCGGAAGCGTGTCACCACCACGTTGTGGCTGCAGTTACACGTTTGGGATGTGGGAATAGGGTGCATGCGGGATAAAAATGGCCAGCCCCATCGACCGGATCCTTGCAGCAACTCATCTAGCTTCTCTCGGTAGGAAATACGTTTCTTAGCGGCGGCGATCTATCACGCAGGAAAGACTAATCAGTATTTGTATGATAAAATTGCAATGAATTCGGGTAAACGAAGGGGAAGAACATGTGCCTGCTTCTATCTCGTGGGTGGCGACGATTGAGCGTATGTATTGTCTTGCAGGGGAAATTGACATTATCCCGCGGCCGTGCAACCAGCCAGCCAGCGAGGAGTGATAATGGAGACGAAAGCGCAGCAGCAATCTTGTGAAGCATAAAGGTCATGAAGCCACCCATGTAAACCCGTAGCCAATGCATCTTTGTAGAAATCGCCCATTTGAACAACCGAGCTCTTATGAACGCCTTCTTCATAGGTATATATAATCCAACATGATATTCAGATCTCGTCATAACGTCGTGATATTGTTTGTGTATGAAGGGTTTAAAGTGTTGTGACAGGTTGATGCTGGCTTAGACGTCCTGATATGTAGGTGTTGGGGTTGTGTTGTGCAATTGTGCAGTTGTGTGTCTTTCCAGCAGCAGGGGAGAGAGAAGCAGGTCGAGACAGAACAGGAGAGAGAGGCTGATATAAAGGGCATCCATACAAGCCGTGGGTTGAGATATTTAGCATCCTCATCTCCTGTCGTAACCGAGAGGAGGGGCGGGGAGGGCAGCGTACGGGTTCCCGTCTGAATAACGGGGCCCATCGTCATACCTGCTCGACCGCGGAGGAGCTGTAGAAGACCAGTTGTCAGCCCTATGTCTGCCGTCGTAGTCACTACTCGAAGATGTTGATCTATGCTGGCGCTCCAACCGGCGTTGGTGCCGCTTCATCTTCTCCTGCTGGAATTCCGAGACCTCGTGGCTCAACTCTCGGGCTTCCTTGAGCTCTGAGATGGCGCCTTTGATACCCAGTGCAGCAATACCAACAGACGCGGCATCCTGGAGAATGGCCTTGGTCTTGAGCTTCTGGGCCTCGGCCTCACTTAGACGCCCCTCTTTCACAGCCTTGTGCCGCGCATTTCGCTTCTCCATGCTCTGGTATACATTGTGTGCTGCATGAATAGTGGCCACGGCTGCTAAGCCCGTGGTGAGAATTTGCTTACCTCGCATCTTCTTCGCTCTCTTTTCATCGTCATCCGAGTCACCCAGATCGGAGCTCGATACCGAGCCCCTGGAATTTCCTCTCCTTCGATCTTTTCTTGCTCCTCGTGACCGACTGCGTTCGCGTTCACGATACGACCGGTCGTCGTCATGATCATCTCGTCCTCCCCGAGGATAGCTCCTCGAGTCTTCGTAGTATTCGTCATCGCGTCCGCGGTGTCGTCGGGACGGGCCACGAGAGTCGTAGTCATCGTCATCGTAGTCTCGTCTGCGGCTACGATCGCGGTCGCGGTCACGCTCGTCATCAGGACCATTGCCGATGCCAAGCTTGGCCAAGCCTCGTCGAGCCCCATCTACAACGCTGCGACTGCGGCTTCTCTTGTGTCGATCTGGGGACTCATCCCGGCTGTCGTAGGATTCATCTCTACGGCGAGAGCGAGATCGCTCACGGTTGTCCAGGATCTTCTTGCCGGCCACGGCTCCAAGACCAGCTGTTGCTAGAGCTGCGAGGCCACTGACGCCGCCGTGACCGCCCTCGGAACGAGCGCGAGATCGTGATCGACTGCGTCCAGTCTTCTTGTCCTCAATGATATCTTTTCTAGAGCCGTGGATCATGCGATTACCAATGAGACCTCCGATGACCGACTCAGCCAAGCCAAGCTTACTGCCGCCCTTGTCAGGGTTTTGGGCCGCATCAATAGTGGCAGCACCAGCTGCAGCAGTCAGAACACGCTTTGCTTTCTCGCCCTTCCAGGCACCTGGCTCCTTAGACACACGGAATGCCTCGGTAGCTCCTGCAATGAGAGACGCCATGGCGGCCTTCTGCATCTTCTGGACGCCTTCGCCACCCTTCGACTGCGGAGATCTTGACCGACTGCCCCGGCGACTGCGAGTATCGGATCTGCGATCATCGTCCTTGTCTTTTCCTCCGCCTGTCAGAGCCTTCACGGCGCCTCCCAGGCCAGCAGCGGCGATAGCGCTCTCCAGAAAGTTCTTGTGGCCCTTCTTCTGCTTGTCGTCTTCGTCATCGGAGATATACTCAGTGACTCGGCCATCGCGGCCCTTGTGAACGATGTGAGTAGACTTCTTCTCGCTCTTCTCGGCTCGCTTGTTGTAAAAGTCGGCACCTTGGTAGCCGGCGAGGGCGCCAGCGGCTCCGAGGGCAGCGGAGGACATGATGTTTCGGTGGACGTCACTGCCTTCCTGCTTTGCCTCACGGCGGTCGTAGAGCTCCTTTCCACCCACGGCAAGAGCAGCGCCGGCAATAGCGGCGATGATCTTCTCCTGGTTGGACAGCACCCGGTGGCGCTTCCTCTCTTCCTCTTCGTAGTAGACACTCTCGGCCTTCCTGCTCCGTCGGCGATCATCATAGTCGTACTCTCGGTCCGCCTTGGAGTAGTGTGAGCGGCGATCGTCGTAGTCATCATAGTAGCCAGGTTCGGCAGAGCGGGCTCGTCTGACGTCTCTGTAGCCCGGCGGAGGGAAGTCGCGGTGAACCTCTTCAATGGAGAGATCGCTGTCCTCGCGAGCTCTAGGCACGAGGTCGCGCGAGTGGACTCTCAGGTAATTATCTCTCGTATCGAGGTAGCGAGGGTCTCTGTCATCGCGACGTTCCTCCTGATAGTACGAGCGCCGGGTGGTGCGCTCGCGCTCTCGAGGAGCGTCGTACGCGTCGTAGGACATGGCAACGACGTCAGAGCCTCACTCTCAAGTGGCGGTAGAGGGGTAAGCAGGCAAGCTCGCCCGGACTAATGAGGTCGGCGGAAGTGGGCGACGCCGCAAAAAACAATGGAGAGCCGACTAATATGAAAGTAAGAATGAGTCGCAAGCTGTTGGTATAGTGGTGATTGCGGTAAAAGTTGATCGTTTCCTCGGAGGATGTTGGAAAGGGCAGGTAGGGTATTATTCAGGACGGAGTTGGGCGAGGGAGGGGGAGGGAGGAGGGGCGGTGGTGGGTAAGTGGGTGTGGGTGTGGGAGGGTGACCTGGGGGGCCAGGTTTGCTACTAGGGTGCATGCGCTGGCCTGCACCACGACTCTACTATGCGGTACCCTACCTCACTTCAGACTAGACGAACGGCAGAGGCGAGAGGATCAGGGCAGTACAGTACAGTCCAGTCCAGTCGACTAGGTACCTTCCTTCCCTATTGCACCCGGCAGTGTCGTCTCAAAAGAGGGCTGGGGGTTATGCAGCTTGCTCGACATGGCCGCGGGTTCGATCGAGGCTTATGATTAGAGCCTCGATCTCTCAATGTTAATGTCATCAGTAGTGAAGAGTGTACTCTAGCTAGGTGCTCTAGCTGGAGAATATAATTACTATCTGAGCTGAATAGTGAAGAGTACCTTGTCTCACGAAGGTCCCCTAGTTAGACGTTAAGGCTGAGGAAACCGGATCTGGAGTACATGAAGGGTCTGGTAGGGTAGGGTAGGGTAGGATAATGTATAATGTAGGGGACCTTTGACAACCGCCGAGCTTGAAACAGGCCGCGCATGCGGTCAACAAGGAGATGGGAGGCCAACCTTGCCAACCCACTGCGGCAAATTCAACTTTTCCCTCTCGGGTCCCGGGGGACCAAAAGCAAGGTCACGACTCTACCGAATGGTATGGTATGAGGGAGTCAGGCAGCACTTGATTTGGTATTGGGGTTACGGCTGGGCACCAAGAAAATCAAGTCAACAAGTTTTCTTGTAATTGCGGCAGTGGAGCCGTTTTCTTATTACTCGAGACTAATAGCAACCTACAGAGTAAGCTCTCCAAGTCGAGCCCCTGTGCCGTCACTAGATCCTAATTTTGAGCCGCTGGGAAGACCCCGTCCCCAGCCACAGGCTTTCTGACAGCAATGACATTACATACTTGGGTACTTGGGTACTACTACCTTGCTAGGTATGGACTATGCCATGGTTGTCTCTCACCGATGGCGACGAATGGTCAGGTTATGGACGAGGCTACGTCCAGGCGTGCTAGTCTGGTATGCATCGCATCACGATACCATAGAACCCCACTAGGAACAGTCTCTAGCTTTCATTTCGCCTTATTTGTCCAGCCCGGGAGCCTCAGCTTTGTTCCAAATCCCAAGTCTAGGCACATGTGTTGCTTGCGTTGCCGGATGAGGAGATTGGCCAACAGGAGAGAGGCCTCCTTTTTCTTGCCGCGGGAAAGGAGGAAGTCGTCCAGCCGCCGTTATTAGGGAACGGGACGGGCAGAACCTAGACGGCGGCGCGGCCACCACGGCAAGCACGGCGGGGTGTTTAGGTAGTCCGATAAAAGAAAGTAACGCAGTGAGTGAGTGCTCTTAAGACACTGACTGCCTGACAAAGGAGGGGTCGTCCCGAAGAGTGGGGCTGGGACTCTTCACCTTGACAGTAGCAACTGGGCAGCTATGACGCACGCTCGGATAGAGTGGCGCAGCACTCTTCTTCTACTTAGCCACAGCCACACTGGTCGGGGACAAGCACCGGAGACTCCGATCAATCTTGCGAAGAGGATTCCACTCAGATGGTGGGCCTCGCTACAGTACGTGTGTCGGCTTTGCAATGCTTGATTGACTACTTCCTATGTAAGAATACCTAGATGGCACTCTTGGTGGCCACATGAAGATGGCGATAGCGCCATTCGCCGCCTGACTACTTGACTAGCTATGAGAATAGGGATGGTTATTGATCAGTGTGTTTGACCCCGAGATCTGTCGTTACCCTCGGCCCCCTCAGATGAGCAGCTTCCATGTCTGTCTGTGGCATCAAATATGTGCGAGTAATGCATTGCAAGGCCTGTTCTTTTACAGAAATTCTTTAAGGTCTGTTTGCATTTGATTTGATTAAAGTAATTGTATTGGATATTCTTGGGAGGTACTTTTCTATCGTGTAGATATCTCCAAGAATCTTCGGACTTCCTCTGAGTGCCAAAAGCATTTGGCCAAGAATAAGGCTGAATCGTCTTTAGTTGATACTCAAAACAACCGGATCGAGAATATTGAAAGGATAGAAATGATGCCATATTCCCTCCTTCCAACAACGCATCTAATCCTTGGCGATCAGAGTATTCGAAAAGCTCGAATACACATAAGCGCAGCGCTGTACACGACAGGGAAATTTCTCCCAGTCATTCGAAATTCCAGTCTACCATTGCCCTGGGTGAATATCCACAACCTTTTGTTTGTGGTGCAATGAGCCTTGGAAGTGGCATCTCTTCTGAAGTGCGCTTCAGTCCCAAAAGAGCTTTCCTGAGCTTCCAAAACTAGGATCGCCGGATACATTATCTTTATATGGTAGGTAATACAAGCACAAACTCGGGGCCATGCATCTTTCAAACAAGCAGAACTTGAACACCACAACGGGTGGTAGGCATCGTGCCGTCGTGGCAGATTACTTACAAGGGAAATCGAGGCCACAAGTGAAACCGTCAGCCCCTTATAGACGTGACCTCGCCGTTCGACTTTCCAATCACTCTCTATCTCATGCGCTCTGCTTCGGCTGTGGAGAGGGACATGGGTAACCATCATGGAGACCCGTGTAGCTGACACCTGCGCAGCGATCCGTCGACGAGGTTGGCGTGTATCAAGGGGGCGATGATTATCCTGTTGCTGCGTTGAACAAGTTTGGGCTTCGAGACCAGCTCCTTCGTTTTTCACTCCGAGGGCTTTATATGTCGCCTAGGTTGCCAGGAGGGCATTCGTTGGCGTTATGCGTCTTGTATGCTACTATTCACTTCTTTTCATCTACATCGCCAGTTTCCTACACGATGCGTTTCTCGACAGTATCTGCTCTCCTGCTGGCAAACATGGTGTTTGCTGCGTTGGAAGCAAGGCAAACGCAAGTCTCTTGACGATTCTTTGCTGTCGGGATCATAAAGACTAACGAAACATCTAGAACCAATGACGTTGCCTTCCAAACAGCGGCATCCGCGCTCATCTCAACATACATCCCCTCTCCCGTCTACAGCGAGATCTCCGCCTCGGTGGTCATCGCCGCTGCATCGGCAAGTGTCAACGGCGATGCCGATGAGCTCATCTACTCAGCGCTGGAAGCCACCTGCCTCCCTGTCTGGTTCCTAGGCGCCGTGCCGACCACCTACCTTGGCGACCTGGCCGTTCTGGAGCAGTCGATCCAAGCCCTGCGAACCGCCGTCCCTCCACCGGCGCCGTCGACAACAACCACAACAACTACGGCATACGGCAGCTCGTCGGCGGCCCCAGTGCTCACCACGGAGACCCCAGCCGGGACAGTCCTGACCTCGTCATCACTGACCGTGATCCCTGTGACGCAGACGTCAAGCGTGACTCCTGTCGTGCCCTCCAGCGTGGCGGGAGGACCGTCCAGCTCCGGGCCCTCGGCGGCCGTCGGGTCCGGGTCCAGTTCCGCAGAGGCCGCACCCACCGTCTCATTCTCGGCATCCGGCACTGGGCCGACAACGTCATCCAGCTCGGCGGCTGCCGTCCCAACGGGCGTGGTGGTGGGCCACGAGTTTGCGGCAGGGATGGCGGCGGCGGCAGCAGCAGCAGCTGTTGTTGCGGCCCTGTGATTGTAATCATAAGCTGTGCGGTATAAGTGCACAGCAACAGTCTATTGCGAGGTATTTCGAGTCAGGAATTCAGGTGTGGAGTGAGTGGTTTGGGGATATTTTTTAATTGCGCTCGGCCGAATGGGGCAGGGGAGGAGAACACCTAGGTCGGGTTGCTCGGGAGCATATGGAGAACATCGTACGATGTGCTGCCCGTATATCCATCCTCTAATGAACGGGTACCCGGACAGGCTCAGAGACGGGGCTACGGGTTGACAAACGGCGACTAGCTATTGGTGACTCTCATCTAGAGTAATTAAGAAGGAAATAATGAGCTATAACCATTGCTGAAAACGGTTTCTTGGGCAAACCCATCAATACGTAGATATCGAATCGATTCGGGGAGAGAAAGAGAGAGAGAGAGAGAGACATTTTCCGAATCCGGCCGCACCCGTCCGTGATTCTGAAGAAGCCGAAGGCCCCGATAGATCTGGCGAATATGATCGCTTCTTTTATTCGTAATTACTTGTTTTGTCTTTAGTTTTATGCTTCTACTCATACAGGTAGGTTTCCACAAGCAGATGGATTGGATTTTTTCTCTTTCCCTCAGCGCAATGAATTTGATGACATCTAAAACATTTCGTAAAACAACCGAAAAAAATATAACCCCTTTCCCTTTGGCCATTTGAATGCATTCATTTGGTAGTTCCTAGCCCTGAAACATGCAAGAAAAAGGGGGGTTGTCGATGAGTAGAGGCTCCGGCCCATGTTTTCCGGTCAAAAGAAAAAACGATTCCAGTCCAGGCGTCGTCTAGCAAAGTTAAGAATCAAGCAGTCTCTGGGTGGACTGCAGGAAAGGCATCATCGCACAAATCTAGTGCAAAACGGGATAGGAGAGCAATAGACCTGTCTCCTTGGCTTTTGTGTGTGCAATGGAACGCAAAAAATGACCGCCGGAATCGTGAATGCATCGCATCAACCATGGCTTGACTTTTTGATCTCGAAAATATCGGGCGGAATTTTATTTCTTCACTTAATTCTCAGAATAGTGAGGTTGGCAAAGGGTATCGATGTGGCCCCCCTGCATCTGGTTTTTGAGCATGACAACAGCTCGATAAAATGCACGGCCCCACGCCATACTTAAGCAACCTCTTCCAAGAGATATGGGACAACCATGTGCACCCCACAAGCTGGCTATGAGCCGAGTCATCAGACAGGGCTTTGTGTGAGAGAGGAGAGAGTCGCTCAATCCAGTGAATGCGAAGTTGCGAAGAAGCATCAAGCCGGCTCCAGTCACTGACTAGGTCAAACTTTCAACACCAGACCATCAATCTGTCAGCTTTCTGTTGTTGTAAAGCAACGCCCTCCAAGACCCATTCTTGATGACTGTCCTTAGCTTGTGGATCTTGTCCACGTATATCAACTCGTTGACCAAAAGCAACTACTCCGGCGGGGTGTTCAACAACCGGCAAGTTGGCCAAGCCCGCGAGTCGCGTGGAGGACAATCATCTTTCCAACTCCAACGTCTCATATCAGAATGGTCCCCCCCAAGAAACAAAGTACAAACAGCTCCCTTCGATAGGCCAAGATCACGGACCCGATCTCCATTGGGTCCATATTAGGCCCCAAAATGCAGAACCATCTCAGGCTTGCACTTCGCCGTTGGCGTTTCCATTACGACTGGCAATGGTCTTGGCCTCATCGTAATGAGCGTTGAACTCCTCAGGATAGATATCCCGAGCGCCCCACACTCGCCCCTTGCCTCGCACAAGAACGTCCTCGTAATACCTCACAAGTTTGTCGAGACCATATGTCAAAGGGATTTTTGCCGAAGCGTCCTCAAGCGCGAGTGCTCGGAAGTCTTGATATACGGTCAAGTTGAAATTGTCCAACAAGAAAAACCCCCAAAATCGGTAGAGCTCCTTCATATCCGCCGGAAGGTCTCCGGGATTAGCCCTTTGACGATGTTCCAGGGCCCTGCTTCGAATTGCTGTATAGTTCTCCTGAATGTTTTCACCAGGACCCATGGTTTGCGGTGCATCTGACGCGGACGTAACTTCAAGGGAGCTGGTCTGTGGAGACGTCACAGCGGCCGACCCATGCTCAGACCCGGCAGTGTTCCCATTGACTCTACGATCTGTTAGCGGAAGATTACGCCTAATACGAGTCATGGGCAACGAGCCTTGCAGCACCCTCCGGAGCACCCTGGGTAGGGCCGGCCACAGAAGTGTCATACGTTCCATTTGAAGCTGACGGGGTAGCCTCTGCGTTATTGGCATGGCTCACTAGCATCAAGTTGGCAACCTGATCGTCGCTCATAGTTGTCGCGTCCTCTAGTCTGAGAGTCCCATCATTGCCTCCAAGCATGCCGCCAGGTGCGAAAGCAGGCACTTCTGCTGACAGCTGAGACTCCACGGGATACGACTGACCATTGACCTCGACACCATTCATACCTGGATGGTACGCGCCACCATTGGGATAGCCTCCGAATGCCTGATCTATACCATTGGGTGGAAACCCGGCAGACGGATACATGGTTGGGGAGGTAGTCGGGTAGCCGCCAGGTGCCATCATAGCGCCGGGATATAGATGACGGCTGTGTCTTGAGCGATACATGTAGCCCTGCGGGCCCGGGGAGCGAGCTTCCTCGTCCCGCTGCTCAACTGGCAGGATGAAATTATGCCAGCCGTCTCGCAACCGGAGGCGCTCCACGTTGTCGTCGCCAAGGACAAAGTCGAGGTGCTCTGATGTTTCACATGCTACGCGTACCATGTTGACATCGCCACCAGAGAACTCCTGGAGTCGCTTGAAACCAGCAATCAGTTCAAAGAACACAAAGCCCTGAGAGTCCATCTTCTTGCGAAGAAACATATCCTTGCAAAGGTTCTCGACCGAAAGGTAATATTCGACCTGGATCATCAACACGTGGACCACACTAGGGTCATAATACGGTTGTTGATACGGTTGGAAAGGAGCAGAATATGGACCCATGTGATAGCCGTTGTAATCTAATCCCGAAGTCTGGAGTGGATGCATTTTGGGAGCCCCGTCAGCTCCGTTCTGTGATACTTTGCTCATGTAGCCATTTGGTATTGATTGCGGTCGTGGGCGTCCATTCTTGGTGAGTGGTGCGCCGTAGTTGGGAGGGAATGATGTCTGATTAGGCGGCGGGCTGAGGGGGCCTCCGTATTTTTGGAAACCCTGTCCTCCTTGAGCATAACCTGACTGCTGGAGGTGACCCTGGGCACTGTTGTGAGAGCCACCACGAGGCTGGCGGTAGCCACCGCGGTTCGAACGCTGCTCTTTACCAGCGGGGAAGCTTCCTTCCTTGCCCAACTCTCCTGATCTGAAAGGCTGATCCGAACGACGCGGATATTGCTCTCCATTCCCTTGTCCGGGTTCGCTCCTTTGCGACTTTGCGTTCTCACTTGGCGTAGTAGACTGTATCAAATTGTGGTTAGCCACGAAGCGACATAATAGTGCCACTATGCCAAGTGACAAATTAGAATAAGTTTCACTCACTGCTGGGTAGTCAGCTCCATTAGCGCGCGGGTTACTACTGGGCGCTGAGGGTTTCCTCTGGTCGCGAACGTAGGCTACATCCATTGAGGCACGTTTCGATGCCTGTGGAGGCAGAGAATTGGCCCGAGAGGGCGGTGCAGTATCTCTCGCTGCTTCGGGTGATTCACCCTGCGAACCAGTTGCTGCAGGTGACTTCTCACCCGCTGCATTTGCGGACGGGGCCTGTCCACCTCGTCGACTCGTACTGCCATTAGGGCGACCTCCGTCTCTTGTTTGACGACGAGGTTGCTGGATCTGGGTGTTGAAGGACACAGTTGGAACAAACGGCATCACGACCCACTTCTTCTTCTCCGACTTGGCGGGAGGAGCCTCCTCTTGTACCTGAACCTCTGTGCGCTCCTTTTCTGGAACTGTTCGCTTTCCTTCGTCGTCGGCAGCTGACACGGGGGTTGGCCATGAGGTGGCATCTTCCACGGGGGGCAAGTTCAGCTTTTCACTATCAAAGGCCCTGCTACCTCGTGGAGCTCTTCGAGACGCCGAGTCATTGCCGAATCGAGACGCATCTCCTGATCGTCTTGGAGGCCTGCTGTTGGCAAGGGCTGCACCATTGTGTGCCTCAGATGTCTCAACAAAAGCTGGCTTCTTCTTGGGCTCCTGTGCCTTGAGATCTTCTGATGCACCTCTTGAGTCCGGCATTGTTGCAGCACTTGCAGGCGTGGCTGATGCCGGCTTCTTGGCAGCCAAGGTCGCTGCTCGCTGCGCCCAGATGTTGACTGAAGGAATAGAAGCTTCAACAAGTGCAATCTTGACCTCCTCCTTCTCCTTCTCTTGGGCCTGTTCAGCTTCAGAATCTTTCTCAGAATTCCTGCTCTTTTTGCCCTTACGTCCCTTCTTGCCGTCGGCACCATCCCCAGATCGCGAGGACTGGGTTGAGGTTCTTGTAAACTTCTCGCCTGGAACTCTTTGCGAATCTGCGTCGGCGCCATCGTCGGCTCGAGGAGTATTTATTGATTGGTCTGTAGCCAGGCCTGAGGAGGCAGACTCCCCGACGGATGCCACATCCAAGTCTGTGTTCTGACGCCCAACCTCCGACTCCGTATGTAAGCTTTTTACAGACTCAGACATTTCGGAAGTCGCAACCTGTGAGGGCGGAGCGGTACCGGAGGCAGTCGAGGAGAGGGCATCGTCCTTCGTAGAGGGCGCTGCAGAACCAGACAATGGCGGTGCCGGCTGACTTATGACCTGGCCCTTGGCGGCCTGCGCATACGAGAATGCCGTAGAAGCCGACATTGTCTCTGCGCTAGACTTAGATATCACTGAAGTCATAGAAGCCTGAGAGGGTGTGGTGAGCGACAAAATCTTGTTGCCGCGTACCTGGAAAATTATTTGGGCGAGATATTCTATCCGCCGCCCACACGCCTTGCCTGAGGTGGATCCCGAAGAACCTCCCCAGTCAGGCCTTGTCCGGAGAGGTAAAGCACACCTCTCCGCACGTGTGAAGAAGAACGATTCGGATCGTATGCCGCAGTGAAGAGACTTGACCACGTAGGCTAGGGAAAAATGCCAAAACAGGTGCGAGGTGGGTTGGTATAGAGTAAGCCGGCAGACGGACAATCTGCAAAAATTTGGAGGTGCAGTGTTGTCAGTTTGGGCTGGCTCGGGATGCAATGGCCAAAGTCAAGCGTCCGCTGCCACGTCCTTCGTCCTAGGCTCGGTGCCTTGAATTGCTGAAAGCAGAAACGACAGCGGGGAAACGAATTAGAAAAGCTGCGGCCAGCTTGAAAGACGCAATTCTCTGACCGTGCTCGTAACTCGGTCGGTAGAAGGTCCCGGGAGAGCCTGGCGAGAGGGAAAGCAGAGGAAGGGTGGGAAAAAAAACCGAGAGGCCCAGCTGGCACGGGGAAAAAATGCTGTAGGGTATCTGTGCGATTGCCGATGGCTCGCAGACGGGCGAGGCCAAGTCAAGCTTCGATTGGCTCGAGAAGAACGCTGTCGAGGAACGAGAAATCTCGAGGATCTCCTTCTCTTAAAAACAAAAGCAGACACGAGCGAGCGGCTGCTTCTGGACTGTCGAGAAGGACACAACGCGAGTGGCGGGTGCGGCAATGTTTGGTGGTGTCGCGGTGCGGTGCGGTGCGGTAAGGCAAGGTCAAGGTCGGTAGGTAGGTAGGTAGGTGAGGTAGGGTAGGTAGGTAGGAGGTAGGTCGTAAAGGGAAGAAAACTAAGACTGTCTGGCCTCCACCAGAAGAAAAAGGTGAAGAAGATTTGTGTGCGGGTGTGTGTGTGCGTGCGGTGGGATAGAATAAATTTTTTTTCTTCGGGCTTTCTGGCAGAACCGCAAACTTCCCCAAGGCTGGCTTAATTTTTCTGGGTCTTGTATCGTGTCGGTGCTGCTCTCTGGTTGCTCCTCGGGCTGCTAATTAAGTCACTTACTTAACATTAGCATCCCATCCATCGGCACAGGGCAGTTCAATTCAGCAGGTAACCTCTAACGTAGGTAGGTTGGCCGACCCAAGGTGGTTTAGGTGGGCAGGCTTAGTCTAACGGACTCGTCTTTCCACCCCTCTCGCAGTCGCGGGCTCTTGTGCTTCGGCAGCCAGTGGAGTTCTGCGCGAATATAAATCGGTTATTCCCCTCTAGCGGCTGGCTCGCTCAATGGAGGAAGGAAGCATGAAAGATGTGACCTGGCTTGCCTTGCCTTACCTTACCTAGGTAGGTAACAAAGCAGGTAGGGTATAGCTAAGTACGTAGGCGAGGTAGGCGAGGTAAATGGGCGTCAAGATAACAGGTATATGGAATATCTGTACCGTAACCGTACCATATACGCATAGAATTAGATGTGGTGTAAGTGCTCATGTCAGGCTCCTGGAGCGAGACAGGACGGAGCTCCAAAGGAAGGCTTCCCCTCAAGTCACCGCACGGCTACGGCTAGACGGGGGAATTTGGAACCGCCGCCCCAAATTTATGTCAGCCCGAGTGACTGAGTGCGTGCTGTGTTTGTGCGTGCGTGTGGAAGGTTTATGAATCACACTGGTGAGTGACAGCAACCTGCCGGCAAGTTATGATGATGATGATGACATGGCACGAAATCTTAAAAGGAAGAGGTGATCTTAGGGGAGAGAGAGAGAGGGGAGAGAGAGCACATTGGAACGTTTACACTGCTCTGGGCAGACATGTCCTTCCTATTGCTACCGTAATTAAATTCTCCGCCTCATCCCATCTTCTCCGTCTCCGGGGACTCCTGTGTGTGTATTGAACGGCCAGAAAAGCCAACCAGCTCATGACTAACAGAATGGCACGGAGCGTTCTTCCTCGTTGCTCCCTACCTCTTTCCATCACCACCTGCTGCTGCTGCCCTGGAAATTGTCGGCTTGCGGGATCGCAGCAGCGGGGTGAGGGGAAGTCGGAACAAGAAGACCCTCTCCAGGTTGCAGTCAATCTTCCAGCTTCCAATCGGTTGCGACGCCACTCACAAGCCCGAGCAGGTTGCCCAGCCCTGGAATGCTATGCTACCTACCTACCTAGGTACGTATGCTTGCAACCTACATCTGACTACCTCGCCTTATTGCCTACCTTATTTATACGGCCACAGAATTTCCAGAATAGAATAGGTGCGGGAGGTGGGATGGGATTACCCGCTCCCCCGCGGATACTTCTATAGATCCCGTTCTCCAACAAACCTTTGTGAGAGGACGACGAGTCATTGCTCTGCCCTCCGCTCCCGGTAGCTGTGAGAGCACACCAGGTAGAAGAAGGATCGAGATATCTTACCACGGCACTCCTTTGCATGCTGCATACCGTGGATATGGTGCATTAGTAAGACTAACACCCTGTCCTGTGCTCGACATGCAGCGCCGTACTCACAGAATTCTAGTTGCCTAGCAAGGCAAGTAGAGCTCTGATAGGTGATAGGGCGAACAAACGAGAGGGCTTACACCCGAGCTGCAAGCCCGGCATGGCTTGAAGCCGCACAGAGCAGGCACCGCCGTACTTGTCGTACACCTAGCTGTCTCTACTGCTCACCAGAGAAGAGGTGAGAGACACGGTGCGGGGAAGCTCGAGGCCACAACGGAAGAACGGTAGGTATCCATGCTCTTCTCTTACCGCAAGATCCTTCACTTCACTTTCTTCACAGCACCTGGCACCGTTTGTGCTGCCGACTTACGTATGCCAGAGCACACTTGGCTCTCGTTCCATTGGCTCAACTGGATCGTTTGACGGTTCCTGCTTGTCTGGAAGGAGCCACAGGATACCTAGAAGGAACAAGCAGTGGCAGTCGCCGCATTCTTTCTACACAATCCAAAAACACCCCATGATCGGCTTTTGACTTTTGACAGCGGTGCAACAGCCGGGTCTCGTTGTTCGACCAGGTGGCTGGCAGTGTCATCGAGCTCGCAATGTCGCTTGCAGGACCCCCACCACGTGGATGGCCGATTCCAGTGACTATCAGCACTATCAGCCTTGCAATG